CAATTGGTAATGGACACTTGGAACGGAATATGGACTATGACATTGGATATGATTCTATAATATGACGGAGCGGATTATTAGTGTAACTTATAGTATTGTTTATGATTGTGCTGTGATTTTGCTTGTTCTGCTTTTGTAAACTGTGTTTTATATGTTGTACACCGCCGCGAGTCGCCCTAGGGCTGAGAGTGGCGGTCAATAAATGCACCAAATAAATAAATAAATAAATAAATAAATAAATGTCTCAACTGTCCACCTTGATTATCATTTAATGGCCTAGCAGTTTCAAAGTATGGTTTCTTACTGCCTGGGGGAATAATAATAATAAATAATAAATAATAATAAACTTTACACTTTACACTTTACAATAGAAAACCGACAAACATTCAATGCCGACATAACATAACAAACAGTTTAAATTTTAACAAAATAAACAACATCACGTGTACTTATAGAGCAACTCAAAAATAACAAATGTAGAAATTTGAATAAATTAATCAAACATTTAGGACATCTTAACTACTAGATCTAATAACAGCAAACAGTTAAAACATTAAAAGTAAAAAAGGCATTAAGAAGTCAACAGGGCTGAATTTGTGTCCGAGACATAGTGTTTAAGGTGCTGGCCTTTGTTGGGAGGTGATTAGCTGGCCCTGATTCTTTATTGCCTGGAATTCCCTTGTTTTTGTGTGTTGTTCTTTATTTACGGTCATGCTTTTAGAATTTTTTTAAGTACTGGTAGCCAGATTTTGTTCACTTTCATGATTTAAATCATTTTATGTACATGCGGCCTGCTCACTGTCATTATGTTTGGTTTACTGCTTTTTTTTCTTTCTTCTCTTTATGTTTTCTGTATATTGCTTATATGCTTATATGTTTTATACGTTAATGCTATGTTGTTTATTTTATTGTAACTTGTATCTTATTTTATTGTAATCTGTTGTTTGGGCTTGGCCTCATATAAGCCACCCCGAATCTCCGTTGGGGGAGATGGTGGCAGGGTATAAATAAAGTTTATTATTATTTATTATTATTTCCTCCTTTCTGTTGAAATTGTCCACATGCTTGTGGATTTCAGTGGCTTCTCTGTGTAGCCTGACATGGTGGTTATTGGAGTGGTCCAGCATTTCTGTGTTCTCAAATAATATGCTGTGTCCAGGCTGGTTCATCAATCCTGGACATTCCACAGATATACAAACCCCATTTTCCTAGTTTTCAAACAGACCTCACAACCTCTGAGGTTTTTTTTTCCCTTGTCAGAAGCAACTTGAGAAACTGCAAGTCGCTTCTGGTATGAGAGATTTGGCCATCTGTAAGGCCAGCACTATCTCTTCACTGTCCAAAGTGAGAAATGGCAGTTAGAACCGTTGGTCTCAGCACCTAGCCAGAGGCAGCAGCCAATCAGAACCCTGGCTTCTGGCATGCTCAGCCAATTCCCAGGGGACAGCCGGATGTTTTGATGTTTTACCATAATTTTGTTTTCTTGCCAAAATTTGTTTGCCTTTACACTGTCTTCTGCAGAGGCTTCTTTTTGTGTGTGTCAGGAGTGACTTGAGAAACTACAAGTCACTTCTGGTGTGGGAGGATTGGCAGTCTGCAAGGACATTGCCTAGGGGACACCCGGATGTTTCTGATGTTTGACCATCCTTGTGGGAGCTTTCTCTCATGTCCCCGCAATTAGGAGCTGGAGCTGACAGAAGAAGCTCATCCACACTCTCCCTGGATTTGAACCTGATACCTGTTGGTCTTCAGTCCTGGCAGTACAAGGGTTTAACCCATTGCACCTGCCACAGATGCAGATGAAACGTATGGAGAGAATGCTTTTGGAGCATGACACTACAGCCCGGAAAACTCACAACAACCCAGTGATTCCAGCCATGAAAGCCTTCGACAATACTCTATGCCAGTGTTTCTCAACCTGTGCGTCCCCAGATGTTTTGGCCTTCAACTCCCACAAATCCTAACAGCTGGAAATTGGCTGGGATTTCTTATAGGCCAAAACATCTGGGGATCCACAGCTCGAGAACCACTGCTCTATGCTGTATGAATTCGTTCATGTTTAATAAGGAGCCACTTCTGACTAAAGTGCCGACAACAGTGAGCACAGCGGTGCGGTTTCTCCCCCGTGTGAGTCCTCTCGTGCCTGAGAAGGTCCGACCGCTCGAAGAAGGTCTTCCCACAGGCCAAACACTGGTGGGGCTTTTCGCCTGTGTGCTTCTTTTTGTGCTTCATCAGGTTCCAGCTGTAGACGAAGCTCTTCCCGCAAGTGGGGCACACGTGGGGCTTCCCTCCCTTGTGAGTCCGCTCGTGCTTCAGGAGCAGCGAGTTCCGGCTGAAGCACTTCCCGCAGCCCGAGCACTGGAAGGGTTTCTTTTCGGCACAGGTCCCCCCACGGAAAGCCTGGCAGCCGGCTTTCCCACATTGGTGTGGTTTTTCCAACACGTGTATTCGCTGATGTTTTGTAAGTGGGTCGTGACGGAGACCGATGTTTGTACCACACACAGTATCTTGGAATGTTTCCTCCCCATTGTGCACAGCTTCACATCTGAAATGTCCACTGTTTTCCCCAAAGTTTCCTGGAAGTCGAGCATTTCCAAATAAGTGTTCGTTGATGGTCTTGTTTTCCACCCTGGGAATGGAAGCCCTTGTCCCATTCCTTGGAGGGTTCCTTTGTTGCCTCTTTGAACTGTGGGGCTCCCAAAATGTTTTGCCTTTTGTATCCAACTGAAGAATGCTTTCTGCAGTTCTCCTTTGAGGTTCTTCATTTGGCTTCAGAAATTTGGAACAAGCTAAACCTTTCTCTGGACTTTTTCTCAGCTCAGAAGATCCCCGGAGTTCCTCTCGATGCTTGCTGAGTTTGGGATGATTGGGAATCTTCTCCCCACTCTCACTCACCGGCATGCTACCTTTAGAAATATAAAAGTTACCAAAAAGGTTAGTTTTTTTAATCATGCCAGAAGTGCCTTGGTGTGAGAGAATGAGGTCTCTTCCTACTCTATGATTCTATGATTCTATGGAGGAAGAAGAAATGTGTGGATACATTCCTGAACTTATTGATGAAACATGAAACTTTGAATTATAGTAAATTGTACTGAAATTACCAGCTTCCGCCATAAAGCACCATAGAGTGATGTCTTGGAGATGTCTTGTCTTAGGATTTTTTAGGTCCTCTAGGTGGTTTTATGGTATGCTTCTGGTAGAAGTATACTGTAGAACAGGCATGGGCCATCTTGGGCTCTCCAGGTGTTTTGGACTTCAGCTCCCACAATTCCCAACAACCTACTGTTGGGAAGACTTAGAGAGGACATGTTGTGCCAGATATGTGTAGGTGAAACCACAGGTATGGGGTCATTTGGTAGTTGGAACTGATGACAATGAATAAACTGCAAAGCGTCCAAGGACTTCTTCGCCTTACCCTGTAAACCGGCCTCCAGGTTATGTACGGTCTCAGCCTCCTTTTGCAGCTGCGTTTCCCCAAAGTCCGACAGAGATGGTTCTTCCTTAACAGAACTCACAGTTGGCTCCACAAACTCCGTCAACGTCTGAAAAAGCAGTGAAAACCATATTTTTGGAACAAAGGAATGTAACAAGGAACAAATCAATTACAAATAATGTTCAGTTTTTTAAAAACTGTGAATGTTTCTGTAGTATGTGGATTGAAAGAAATTGTATGATTGGGATCTGGCAAAGACTGAAGATACTGTTCTAAGGAGAATAAAGCCTGGAAAACTGCAAAAGGAGGTGAAGAATTCATGGACTGACAAACTGTGATAAAAAGCTGCTGATGAAAACTGCTGACATTGCTGACCTGTGGTTGAAAACAACATGTTTACATGACCAGAGACAATAACTATTAAAGTTAAGGAAGTCAAACAATAATCCCTTACATTAAGAAGGAACTGATGGAATCAATAATTTTTAGCCGGATATCAAGTTAGTAATTTACAACTTCAACAACAGCAGAAATGCTATATAAGAGACCTTCCTACTTTACGAAAATGTGGCAGACTGCATGATTGGGGTCTGGCAAAGACTGAAGATACCATCCTAAGGAGTATAAAGCCTGGAAAACTGCAAAAGGGGGTGAAGAAATCATGAACTGTCGAACTGTGATAAAAAGATGCTGATGAGAACTGCTAACATTGCTGACCTGTTGAACCATGGTTGAAAACAACATGTTTACATGGCCACAGACAATTAGTCTTTAAGTTAAGGAAGTCAACAATTGTCCCTTACGTTAAGAAGGAAAACCAACATTTGTCCAAGAACTGATAGAATCAGCAAGTTTTAGGTGGATATTAAGTCAGTAATTTACAGCTTCAACAACAGCAGAAATGCTATATGAGACCTTCTTACTTTCTGAAAGTGTGTCAGACTGCATGATTGGGGTCTGGCAAAGACTGAAGATACCATCCTAAGGAGAATAAAGCCTGGAAAACTGCAAAAGGAGGTGAAGAATTCATGAACTGTTGAACTGTGATAATAAGGTGCTGTTGAGAACTGCTAACATTGCTGATCTGTTAAACTGTGGTTGAAAACATGTTTACATGACCAGAGACCATAACTATTAAAGTCAAGGAAGTAAAATAATAGTCCCTTACATTAAGAAGGAAAACCAACATCTGTCCAGGAACTGATGAAATCAGTAATTTTGAGACGGATATCAAATTAGTAATTTATAACTTCAATAAGAGAAGAAATGCTATATAAAAGACTTTCTTACTTTCCAAAAGTGTGGCAGAAAGTGTGGGGTCTGGCAAAGACTGAAGAAACCATCCTAAGGAGAATAAAGCCTGGAAAACTGCAAAAGGAGGTGAAGAATTCATAAACTGTTGAATTGTGATAAAAAGGCGCTGATGAGAACTGCTGACATTGCTGACCTGTTGAACTGTGGTTGAAAACAACATGTTTACATGGCCAGAGACAATGGAAGGAACCAAAACTAGAAAAAGCAGGATGACCCTCTCCCATTCGGGAAGGAGCAACACACATTGTGTCTTTTTGGTTTATCTTTTGTAGCGCCTATTTTGGTAGAATGCAGAGGTGAGCTTAAGCCAATGAAAGTAGAAGATTTTATAATATGACCAAATATGGGCAACTTGACCTAGGCTAGTTTCCCATATTCGTTAAAAATCAGACAATGTGATTTTCTGGATGCTTTTTCTCATGTTGTCTCTACCTATGATGTCAATTACTGACCTCTCTCATCTTTTTAAGTGAGAGAAGTTGTACAATTGGTATCTGACTAAATACTCCCCCCCCCCCGCACTGTATATACACACACATATATATATACACAAAACACATATACACAGATTGAGCCACAGCAAAGCATGGCAGGGGATGGCTAGTGATAAATGTGAATCCAACCCCAAATGCCACTCTTGATTTTGGACCCCCTTCCATGGTCTCACCTGCTGCTCCCCGCTCTTGGCCTCCTGTTGCCTGAGCAGGAACTCCTCTGCCAGGGCCACCGCTTGGGTGCAGCTCCCCGGCCCCTGTTCCTTCACCCAGCTCTGGATCTCCAGTGGGAGGACGGTCAAGAATTGCTCCAGGATCAGGTCTTCCAGGATCTGCTCCTTTGTGTGCTTCTCCACTTTCAGCCACCGGTGGCAAAGCTCCTGGAGATGTCCATAAGCCCCTCTTGGCCCCTCGGCCTCCTGGTAGCAGAAATGCCGGAAGCATTGGCGGCTCTTCTCCCTTCGCAGGGCATCTCCTTGCAAGATGGCTGCCTTCACTTTCCCATAATCCTCTCTGTCTTGCACCCCCAGCCTGACAAAGGTCTTCTTGGCCTCACCTTGGAGGGCCGGCAAGAGTCGGGTCACCCACACATCCTTAGGCCACTGACAAGCTGTGGCCACTTCCTCGAAGGAGGCCAGGAAGGACTGAGCATCATTCCATGGCGGAGGCTCGTCAGGCAAATGTGGGGCCTCCGCCATCTTCAGGAATGATTGCCACTGCGTTTCCCAATGTTGAAGTTGTCCTTCCTCTGGTTCATGTTTAATCGGGGTGACAAGGACTCTCTGCAGGTCATCCCCAACAGTTATAGCCTGGTGGACGGGAGGAGCTCTTCTGGGCGGCCACGATCTTTCCTCCATCTTCGATCTAGCCAGTCCTTGATTCCACCAGTATCTTGCACTGAAATCCCTAGAACAACATGGGCATTGATTACCATTCTGCATTTAATTTTTTTTTTCTTTAGCTGATAGCCAGCTGCAATAAATCACTACTGACCGAGAGGCATGAGTTCGAAGGTAGTGCTGGTCGGAGTGAGCTTCCAGCCATTAGTCTAGCTTGCTGTTGACCTTTGCAGCCCGAAAGACAGTTGAATCTGTCAAGTAGGAAATTTAGGTACCGCTTTATGCGGGGAGGCTAACTGAACTAATTTATGACACCATAAAACCTTCCAGTAGCATGCAGAAGAATGAGGAAGTACTCCATCAAAGGACTCGGTGTCAAAAATGGACGGTGAAGCGGCAGCTCCTCCTTTGGCTGGAATCAAGCCAGAATCGAGCATACCTTCATGAAGCCAGAAAGCTGGAATGTTTCATTCTCTCTGTGTCTGTCTATATATGTAGTATGTCTAATGGCATTGAATGTTTGCTATGTATATGTGTGTTGTAATCCGCCCTGAGTTCCCTGTGAGGTGAGAAGGATGGAATATAAATACTGTAAATAAATAGATATTTACTATATTTATATCCTTCCCTTCTCAACCCCAAAGGGGACTCAGAGCAACCTTACAATCAGCAACAATTTGATGCCATATCAACAGAAAAATAATAAAATAAACATGTACATTAAAACAAAGATTAAAAAGCAATAAAGCATTAAAACACATTATTATAATTGCACAATCTATATATGCCTCCAACCAGTGCATACAAGTGCCAACTCTGTGTGTGTCTGTATGTATGTATGTGCATGTGCGTGTGTGTGTGTGTGTGTGTATATATATATATATATAATGTCTCCAACCAGTGCATACAAGTGCCAACTCTGTGTGTGTCTGTATGTATGTATGTGCATGCGTATATATATATATATGCCTCCAACCAGTGCATACAAGTGCCAACTCTGTGTATTTGTGTGTGTGTGTGTATGTGTTTGTGCGTATACACACACACACACACACACGAGTTGGCACTTGTATGCACTGGTTGTAGGCATGTAATTAGGAAGAACTTCCTGGAACTGATGCCTAGAAGTCTGGTGGAGTCTCCTTCTCTGGAGGCTTTTAAGCAGAGGCTGGATGGCCTTCTGCCGGGAGTGCTTTGATTGTGCTTTTCCTGCAAGGCAGTGGGGATGGACTGGATGGCCCTCGTGGCCTCTTCTTACTCTAGGATTCTATGATTTTTAGGAAACAGGGAAATATTACATAATATTTTGTCCCTCTCTTAGGGGGCACCTCGTTTCCCTTCAAAGCAAAGTCACATACAGAGAGAGTTTTTCTTGCCACTCACCTCCTCTTTTGCAGGAGACCAACCTCCTCTTCCTCTTGGGCTTCCTCCTTTTCTCTTTTGCTGCAGGGAAACTACAAACTCCTCCCAGGAAAACAAGCTTCTTGGTCTGATCCTCCTCTCACCCATCATCACCAGCCTCTCTGGCCAAAGACACAGTCTGTGGTTTTAACCCCTTTTTGAACACAACAGACTGGTTTGAATGGTGTCAGAATTAGAGACAGAGGAAGCGTCTGCATTTATTTCTTTATTTATCGTGTCAGGCAACCGAACAGTTGTATTACATTTTTGACAGAACAGACAAACAAACATACAAAAGACACAGAGTTTGCAAGCTTGGTAGTTGATTAAATGTCCTTTGACCAGTTACTGGCCACTTGGAGCTCCTCTGGGGTTGCTGCAAGGAGGTCCTCCCTGGTGCATGTGGCAGGGCTCAGGTTGTATTGCAGCAGGTGGTCAGTGGTTTGCTCCTCTCCGCACTCGCATGTCGTGGGCTCCACTTCGTGGCCCCATTTCTGAAGGTTGGCTCTGCATCTCGTGGTGCCAGAGCGCAGTCTGTTCAGCGCCTTCCAAGTTGCCCAGTCTTCTGTGTGCCCAGGAGGGAGTCTCTCATTTGGTATCAGCCATTGGTTGAGGTTCTGGGTTTGAGTCTGCCACTTTTGGACTCTCGCTTGCTGATGTGTTCCAGCGAGTGTCTCTGTAGAGCTTAGAAAACTATTTCTTGATTTCAGTCGTTGACGTGCTGGCTGATGCCCAAACAAGGGATGAGCTGGAGATGTCTCTGCCTTAGTCCTTTCACTATTGGCTGCTACTTCCCGGCAGATGTCAGGTGGTGCAATACCGGCTAAGCAGTGTAATTTCTCCAGTGGTGTAGGGCGCAGACATCCCGTGATAATGCGTCATGTCTCATTAAGAGCCACATCCACTGTTTTAGTGTGGTGAGATGTGTTCCACACTGGGCATGCATACTCAGCAGCAGAGTAGCACAGCGCAAGGGCAGATGTCTTCACTGTGACTGGTTGTGATCCCCAGGTTGTGCCAGTAAGCAGACTGCTGTCAATCCATCCTATACTGTTGCATTTCATTATTTCTGCTTTAGTATTTTATACTCCTGACTGGGGATTATTATTATTATTATCATCATCATCATCACCATCATCATCATCATCATCATCATCATCATTATTATTATTATTATTATTATTATTATTATTATTATTATTGGATTGAAGCACTTTTTCTTATCCACGATAGAGAAAAATGTATTAATTATAAAATCCCTTATCCAGGGTAAGATTTGATATTTAATACCATCTTTTCCAATGGAAGCTCACAATGATAAGGGGATGATGTAGTGGAGATCAGGTTACTGTAACAAATATGGAAAGTTACTTTTCTTAGTGTTACAAAACTGCCACTGTTATATGTATCTATTGAGTTCTATTTTGGTGGGGGAATCATTGGTTACATTTATGGATCTGTTTCCTTGGGATTTATAAACATTGGCTGGAAACTTGAACAATCCCATTCAGTAACACTATGGTATCAGCCAGCACGTCAACGACTTAAATCAAGACATAGTTTTCTTAGATCTACAGAGACACTCGCTGGAACACCCCAGCAAGCAAGAGTCCAAAAGTGGCAGGCCCAAACCCAGCACCTCAATTCATGGCTGATACCAGATGAGAGACTCCCCCCTGGGCACACAGAAGACTGGGCGACTTGGAAGGCGCTGAACAGATTGCGCTCTGGCGCCACGAGATGCAGAGACAACCTTAAGAAATGGGGCTACAGGGTGGAATCCTTGGCATGCGAGTGCGGAGAAGAGCAAACCACAGACCACCTGCTGCAATGCAACCTGAGCCCTGCCACATGCACAATGGAGGACCTTCTTGCAGCAACCCCAGAGGCACTCCAAGTGGCTAGATACTGGTCAAAGGACATTTAACCAAATACCAAATTTGCAAAATCTGTGTGTTTTTTTTCCTTTTTCTTTTTAATCTGTGGGTTTGTTTTGCTCTGTTAGAATTGTGATACAATGGTTGCTGATGACACAATAAATAAATAAATATTGACATATTGACACTGAAATTCAACACTGCCTGAGCTCTGTGAGTGCAGCATTTTTCCGAATGAAGCACACAGAGTGTTTGAGGACCGGGACATCCGTAGGGAGACCAAGGTGCTTGTTTATAAAACTACAAGCAGTCCCCTGCCAGGCGTTGCTGTGGCCCAGGCTGGTGATCTGGAAAATAAAGTAATGAGAAAGTGCTGGTTTCTAATATATGTAATGCCTTTATGCTTGTGGGTAAACAGTATTTCTTCATGTTTCTTTGACAGTGTTAACGTAGAGATTGTCTGGTTTGCCTACTCTGGAACCATGCAACATATAATTGCCCATCTTTAGGAGTCCCTTTCAAATCGATCTTTATCTGTGTGTGTGTGAATCATATATATCTATCTATATCTATGGCTGGATGGCCCTCTGTCATGAGGGCTTTGATGACGTTTTCTTGCCCTGGTGAAGGGAGTTGGACTGGATGGCCTTAAGTATTTTCTCTTGGTCACAGGGGTTCTGTATGGGAGGTTTGCCCCAGTTCTGTCATTTGTGGGTTTCATTCAGAATAGCCTTTGATTGAAGGTGAACTATAAATCCCAATAACTACAACTCCAAAATGCCAAGGTCTATTTTCCCCAAACTCCATCTGTGTTCATATTTGAGCATATGGAATATTAGTGCCAAGTTTGGTCCAGATCCATCATTGTTTGAGTCCACAGTGCTCTCTGGATGTAGGTGAACTAAAACTCCCAAACTCAAGGTGGTTAAGGCAGCATAGGTTGCAGACAGGATTGCTAACAATGTGTTATTCCCAATTTTTTTAAAAAAATTAAGCAATGAGACACCTACCTCCTTGAAATAACCTATAACGTGGCCTACTCCTTGTGAAAAAACACACACACAAAGAATACATCTGGTTTGTATAAGGACATGTATAGTTTTTGCTTTGACCACATTTGGTAGCCATGTAATGGTAGTGGTGGTGGTGGTGGTGGGGTGTTGCCTGGCTTTGTACCAGCAAATCTGAAAACCTACCCCCTCCAAAAGTGTGCCATATATATGTGTGTGTGTGTCAATGTATGTTTATTTATATAACAAAGGCTCTGAAATGTTACTGGGAAAGAAAGGTAACATATATTGTTGAAGGCTTTCATGGCAGGAATCACTGGGTTGTTGTGAGTTTTCCGGGCTGTATGGCCATGTTCCAGAAGCATTCTCTCCTGACGTTTCACCTGCATCTATGCCAGGCATCCTCACAATTTCTGAGGATGCCTGCCATAGATGCAGCCGAAATGTCAGGAGAGAATGTTTCTGGAACATGGCCTTACAGCCCGGTAAACTCACAACAACCCAAAGGTCACATATATATGAGGGGAAAAGGAGGAAAGAAGAAAAAGAAGTGGAAGAAGGAAGAAAGGGGGAAGAAAGAAGGAGGAGGGAACAAAGGAAGGAAGGAAGGAAGGAAGGAAGGAAGGAAGAGGAAAGGGGGAAAAGTAAGAAAAGATGGGAGGAAAGAAAGAAAAAGACAGGGATTGTTCCCAGTGGCATCTGGGCAATCATAGAATCATCGAATCCTAGAGTTGGAAGAAACCACTAAGGCCATCCGGTTCAACTCCATTCTGCCAAGAAGCAGGAAAATTGCATTCAAAGCACTCCTGACAGATAGCCATCCAGCTTCTGTTTTAAAACCTTCAAAGGAGGAGCCTCCAACACACTCTGGGGCAGGGAGTTCCATTGTTGAACAGCTCTCACAGCCAGGAAGTTCTTCCTAATGTTCAGATGGAATCTCCTTTCTTGTAGTTTGAAGCCATCATTCCACATCCTAGTCTCCAGGGCAGCAGAAAACAAGCTTGCTCTCTCCTCCCTATGACTTCCCCTCACATATTTATACATAGTATCATGTCCCCAAAAATAAGACATCCCCCCAAAATAAGAAAATGCATTGAATAAATCTTGCTTTGTGTTCATAAATATCGGGATCAGAAAATGTACACTAGATCGTTGTACTTGGAAATAATGGTAGTAACAAGAAATTCTTGATAGGATTCAGTGTTTAATGTATTGTCAAAGGCTTTCATGGCCAGAATCACTAGGTTGTAGTAGGTTTTTCGGGCTGTACGGCCATGTTCTAGAAGCATTCTCTCCTGATGTTCCGCCTGCATCTATGGCAGGCCTCCTCAGAGGTTGTGAGGTCTGTTGGAAACTAGGAAAACTAGGAAATAGCAGATATACAAACCCAATTTTCCTAATTTCTAACAGACCTCACAACCTCTGAGGATGCCTGCCATAGATGTGGGTGAAATGTCAGGAGAGAATGCTTCTAGAACATGGCCGTACAGCCCGAAAAACCTACAACAACCCAGATTCAGTGTTTGTCTGGCTATGCTGGTGTGTGATGACAATGACTGTACAGCATATAAGAAATGTTTATTTTTTAATTTGGCAATAAACATGAATTCTTCTTCATGGAAAAATAAGACATCCCCTGAAAATAAGACCTAGCGCATCTTTAGGAGCAAAAATTAATATAAGACACTGTCTTATTTTCGGGGAAACAAGGTATGCTAAAGTACAATAAGACCCTCACATCTGTGTGGACTGTAATACAGTGGCATTTAGTCATGTCGATGGTTTCAGGTAACTGGCCGGGAACATATTCCCTACCAATACTGTACTATAGGGCAAACCATTTCAAGATGAACCTCACAGCAAGAACAGCGGCATGGTGACTCTAGCATGGATAGGACACCCATTGCCTTTCGATATATTCTTCTGGCCTCCTGTCATCAAAGGAAAAAAATATACACCAACAACCACACGAGCCTTCTACTGAAAGGTGGGTTTATTCTGAGAAATAAGTGCTAATGATTTGATCCCGGACTTCCACCCCACGGAGATCTTGTTCTACCAGGCTATCGGTCTCCAAGTAGGGAGGCACGGGGACCTCGGTGTCCACCCCTTGTCCGCCATTGATGATGGGCAGCTGGCGCCGCAGGGCCATGTTGTGTAACATGGCACAGACCACAAAGACCTTGGCCACTTTCTCTGGGCGAAGCATGAGACGGCCCCCCGTGGAATGGAGGCACCGGAACCGCATCTTCAGCTGCCCAAAGGCCCTCTCCACCACCATCCGTGTTGTCTCGTGCGTGGCGTTGTAACGCGCCACCGGTTCCGGCCCTTCGTCGGGATGCGGTGTCATTAGGAAAGGGCGCAAGGGGTAGCCGCTATCACCTGTGGGGAAGAGACAACGCATTGTGAGCCCAATACACACCTGTCATAACCTTATTTCCTGGTTTTGTGTGAAGTCAGGAAATTAGGCCATGCCTTAGATCTGGTCTGTGTATATAATAATAATAATAATAATAATAATAATAATAATAATAATAATAATAATTTATTTATATACTGCTGTATGTCCCTGAGGACGACTCACAGCGGTTTCCAAGTAACATCACCAAAACATACAGAGTAAACAAGGGCAAGGGTTGCCATTTGAAAAGGGAGCAATGAAGGGGAAGGGCCTGCATGAAGGATAGGAAGCACGAGGTAAATAAACTGGCAGTTGGAATTTTGTTGTGTTCCTAATGCATGCTTTTGACTTAAAGCCTTCCAACTTTGTGAGGTAATTATTTCACCAGAAAGCTACAGATCCAGACACACTGGCAGTGATGTTTTCATGCATAGGACTGGAGTCCCCAGTGGCGCAATGGGTTAAACCCTGTGCCAGTAGTACTGAAGACTGAAAAATCACAGGTTCAAATCCGGGGAGAGTGCAGATGAGCTCCCTCTGTCAGCTCTGGCTCCCCATGAGGGGACATGAGAGAAGCCTCCCATCAGGATGGTAAAACATCAAAAACATCCGGGCATCCCCTAGGCAACATCCTTGCAGATAGCCAATTCTCTCACACCAGAAGCAACTTGCAGTTCCTCAAGTCGCTCCTGACACACACAAAAGCATAGGATTGCCCATTGTGGACTACAGAATCGTCTTTCTTGCACCCTCCCTGAGATAACACTCACCTAAGAGCCATCCCTTCCCATCTGGCCATGACTCCAGGAGTCTTTGCAGCTGGGAGAGCTGGAATATCCGGGCGTCATGGACGCTCCCAGGGAACTTGGCCAACACGTGGGTGAAGCACCCTGAAGCGTCGCAGGTGGCCTGGACGTTCAAGCTGTGGAAGTTGTGGCAGTTGCGGTAGAGGGCTGGCATATCCGCCGGTGCGATGATGGGCACATGGGTGCAGTCCACAATCCCGATGACGTTGGGGAAGCCTGCAATGTCGAAGAAGGCTTCCCGGGTGCGCCGGAGCTCAGAGTCGGTGGTGGGGAAGGTGATGTGTTCGTGGACGTGCCGGAGCATGGCTTCCAAGAAGGCGTCCAGGCAGCGGCTGACAGATGACTGGGAGACGCGGAGGTTGTCGCCTGTCATCCGCTGGAAGGAGCCCGTCCCCAGCACCTGCAGGGCTATCAGGACCTTCTGCAAGGTGGGGATGTGCCTGCGGCTGGCTGAGGCCCCGTCCAAGTAGGGCGCCAGCAACGTGCACAGGTCTTGGATGGCCTGGCGGTCCAGTCGGAAGCGGGTCAGGCACTCCTCATCGGACACCTGGAGCTCATGGGTGCGCATACGGATGAGCCGGGTCCGTCGAGGCGGCCGCCTGCTGTGGATCTCGAGGTTGGCGGCATAGACGAGGTCCAAGAGGCCCTCATCGTCAGAGCTACCCTCTTCTGGGTAGAGGCGAAGGGGACCACCCGCCCGTGGCTCCACCTGCCCAAGTGTCCCTGTGGGGCCAAGCAGAGCGGAAGGAGGTCAGGGTTACATTCTGGTTTGGAGAGTGGAGAAGGTCTGCTTTCATGTACATAGCTTTATATCTTACATACCATGGTCAGGCCTCCCTTATATTTTCCTTCACAAAATGACACTTTGCTCATCCTGTCTTTTAATTTTCATTTTTGTATGAGAGCCATCTCTCCACTTTTACAGATGTCTAACTAAGGTATTCACGATGGCTAAAAGGATAACTCCAGCTCTGAAACCATCCCAAGAATCAAAACAATTTGACAAACTGATACACAAATTGATAACCAACTCAAATAAATGCTTACCCAGATTACTGGCCTCTTCTTCGTCCACCTCTCGCTTAGCTTCCCTGAATAATTGTTTCGGTACCACGTCCAATTGAGGTTGTTCGGCCTCAGCTTCAGGAGAATCCGCGTTGTCCATCTCAAACAGCCCCAGCACCTAAAAATAACACAAGAGATCTTGCTCAGGGTCCACATGGCAGGCTTTGGGAAATAAGGGTGGCTTTTGAACAGATCTCAAGGAATAGCTAGGTAAAGGTTACCTCTTGACATTAAGTCCAGTTGTGTTCAATTCTGGGGGTTGGCGCTCATCTCCATTTCTAAGCTAAAGAGCCAGCATTGTCTGTAGACACCAACAAGGTCATGTGGCCAGCATGACTGCATGGAGAATTGTTACCTTCCCACCAGAACAGTACCTATTCTACTCACATTTGCATGTTTTCAAACTGCTAGATTGGCAGAAGCTGGGGCTAACAGAAGGAGGTCACCCCACTCCCTGGGTTCGAACTGCCACCTTTTGGTCAGCAAGTTCAACAACTCAGCAGTTTAACCCACTGTTGCAGGCAAGTGTGAATGTTGAAATTATTTATTTATTTAAAATATTTACATTCCGCCCTTCTCACCCTGCAGGGGACCCAGCGCGGAGCACAACATATACATGGCAAACATTCAGTGCTGAGACATAAAACCATAACTATACACAAAACATTAAAATCTCTTATAATTAATCACTTTGATTAGCACTGCAAAGCCTTACAGCTTCAAAGCCTGGCTGATTGCTTCCTTGGGGAATCCTTTTTTGGGTGGTGTTAGCTGGCCCTGATTGTTTCCTCTGTTTTCAAAGTGTTGTTCTTTATTTACTGTCCTAATTTTAGAGTTTTTAAAATACTGGTAGCCAGATTACGCAGCATACAAACACGTATTAGGGTACATGAAAGGCACTGCAGACTAACTCAACCAAGTCAGCCATAGCAGAGTACTTCATAAACCAACCTAGATATAGCATATTATTTAAGAACACAGAAATGCTGGACCACTCAAACAACAACCATGTCAGACAACACATAGAAACCATTGAAATCCACAAGCATGTGGACAATTTCAAGAGAAAGGAGGAAATCATGAAAATGAACAAAATCTGGCTACCAGTATTAAAAAACTCTAAAATTTGGACAGTAAATCAAAAACAACACTTGGAAAATGATGGCTGCTTACCTGTAGCCATATTTCTTTGAGTGGTGATCTGTGAAATTAGCACATATTATACTTGCTTCACAGTTGCATCAAGTACCCTATGTGTTTATTTCACCAGACACCACGAAGGAGAAACAGGGGAATGCCAGACAGGAAACAATCAGGGCCAGCTAAAACCTTCCAACCAAGGCTTCCCCCAGACAGGAAGCAGCCAGGTTTGAAGTTGCAAGGCCACTCAATGCTAACCAAAGGTAGCCAATTGCAACATTCACACTTGCCTCAAGCAGACAAGAGTTCTTTCTCCCACCCTGGGCCTTCCACAGAAATATAAACATCCTTTGCTTGGTATCCAATATACCTCACAACCTCTGTGGATGCCTGCCGTAGATGTGCCGAAACGTCAGGGAAGAATGCTTCTGGAACATGGCCATACAGCGGAAAACTCACAGCAACCCAGTTCCTTTATCATTTGGGGATTGTATGAGGGTTGAATGAAAATTAATGCCTCCACCTTCGAAACTCAACAGATGGCAGTACTGGTATGTGGCCGGTACTGGCTTGTTCAGTAGACTCTCCTCTACAGTTCCATTTTGGCAGGAAGGCTTAGCATTGAACGGTTGTGTTGTTATAGTGCAAAGTATGGAACCCTGCGCAGACGGTCAGTCAATGCGACTTAAGCAACGTGCAGTCATTGAATTCTTGGCAGCAGAAGGTGTCACCCCGAAGGAGATTAATCAGAGAATGCAAGCTGTTTATGGCAATTGTGTTGATGTGAGTACTGTGCGTCATTGGGCGAGTAAGTTTAAAGATGTTGAGGTGGGAACATCTGACTTGCCTGACAAACAAAGAATTGGACATCCTGTGACAGCAACCACTGAGTTTCACAAGGAAAAAGGTTGACAGATTGATTCAGGACGATCATCGTATCACTCAGAGAGAAATTTCAAGCATAATCGGCATGTCACAAGAACGTGTGGGTCACATTATTGCTTTGCTTGCCAAGCAAAGCAATAATGTGACCCACACGTTCTTGTGACATATCGGAAGATCTGTGCACAATGGGTTGCAGAAACAGAGTGTTGACTTCTTCCGCGATGGTTTCAGAAAATATGTTCATTGTTGTCAGAAATGTATCCAATCGTCTGGTGATTATGTGGAAAAGTGAATATATTGCTTACTTTATTCATACGTTTTATATATTTTACTGTGTTGTGTTCGTGCTTTGGTTTTATTTTATTGTAATATGCTGTTGGGCTTGGCCTCATGTAAGCCGCCCTGAGTCCCCGTTGGGGAGATAGTGACGGGATATAAATAAAGATGATGATGATTGTTGTTGTTGTTGTTGTTTTAGTAGTAGTCAAAGAGCACATTCGAAGGATTATTTCTGTGTTTAATTTATTAAAATATTCTCATCCAAACCCAAGTGACGAAGGTGGAGGCATTACTTTTCATTCAACCCTCGTATCATGGATGGCCCTTGTGGGATTATGGGGGCGTCTTCCAGCTATGATGCCATGATTTTATGAATGTATTTCAGCCATACCTGCTGCTCCCTCCTTTCGGCCTCTTGCTGCATCTGGAGGAAATCCTCTGCCAAAGCGGCTGCCTGGGAACAGGTCTCCGGTTCGTGTTCCTTCACCCAGCTCTGGATGTCCGGAGGCAAGATGGCCAAGAACTGCTCCAGGATCAGCAGCTCCAGGATCTGCTCCTTGGTGTGCCGCTCGGGCTTCAGCCACCGGTGGCAAAGATACCAGAGCTGGCTGCAGACCTCGCGGGGCCCTTCGGCCTCCTGGTACCGAAACTGCCGGAAACGCTGGCGCTTCATCTCCCGACTGGCTGAGTCGTCCCCCACTACCTCCTCCTTCACTTTCACCATCCCCGACTCTCCGATCTCCCCAGAGTCCAGGATTTGGACGTCTGGGTCGTCCCTGCGGCTGTGCCTCGGCGGGTGCCGGGTGGTTCGTCCGCCTCTCGGCCAGTGTCGGGCCACCGTTGGCCCCTCGGAAGACGGAGACACCGCCTGACGGTCTTCCCACTCAACGGGCCGCGACACCCGTGGGTTCCTCCACCCCGAGCGAGGAGAGCGTGTTGCGTTGAGGAGCTCCTTGTGTTGAGAGGCTCGGCTTCGAGGCAGCCGCTCCATTCTCTCTCGGTGCCCTCCGCGCGAGGCCTGTCCTTTCCCCTGCCACCTTTCTTCCGGCTCTGGGTTTTCGGCTTCGTCTTCGTCCTCTTCCATTTTCGCTCTTTGCCGAGCCACTTGTTCTAGCGCACCTTGGAACTGGAGGCTTGGTACAGCTCCCCGTTTGGCGGCCATTTTTGGGACAGTCTCAACCGATCACCACCGTTGTGATTTTTTATTTTCCTTTCTCAGATCCTCTCTGCAAATAAAAAGGGCTTGGAGAGGCGTTGGTTTTTCGAGGCTGTTGGAATGGTGGTGAAAACGTTCAACAGGAGGTCTTCAGAAGCAGATGGGGCCTTTCCAAACCAACAGGGTCAACGGCTGGTTGTGTGGCCTTCTACCTGAAAAAATGGAAAGAGAAGATGAACATTTACTGGACCTTAACAATTGAAACAAAAGAGAAGAAGGCAAACGTTTATTAGAAGGCCAGCAAAAGGAAACAGGAGACCAAATTCAATTCAAAAAGCAGCACAATGGAGTGGATAGAGCAGGCAAGGGCAAACTTCAGTCCTCCAGGTGTTTTGGACTTCAACTCCCACAATTCCTAGCAGCCTCAGGCCCTTTCCTTTTCCCCCTCAGCGGCTGATCAATGAATCAATAAATAATCCACTCAGTGTCCCAATCTGCAGCTTCCTAGTGAAGAAATTGCCTCACAAACAGAGTGGGAAGGCTTTATTTCTCAAAGCATACAGTGTGGTACCATACAAAATTCCAACTGACAATCTTTCCCTCAAAAGCATGCATTAGGGTATGAAACAAAATTCCAACTGACAGTTTATTTCCCTCATACCTCCTATCCCTCAACCTGGCCTCTCCCCTTTACTGCTTCCATTTCCATGGAAACCTGGGTTCAAGTGTCAGGCTATGACCCAAAGGAAGTGGGTTCAAATCTCCATGTAGTCATGAAGTGTGTGTGTTTATGTGCTGTCTTTTAGCCTTAGCCTAACCTATCTCACCAAGTTGGCATGAGAATAAAAATGGGGAGGATAGCGGGGAAAGGGACATGGAAATCCATGTGAGTTACTTAGATTAAAAGCACACTATAAATCAGGTGTTTCTCAACCTTCCTAATGCTGTGACCCCTCAATACAGTTCCTAATGTTGTGGTGACCCCCAACCATAACATTATTTTCGTTGCTACTTTATCATTGTAATTTTGCTACTGTTATGAATTGTCATGTAAATGTCTGATATGCAGGATGTGTTTTCATTCATTGGACCAAATTTGGCACAAATACCCGGTATGTCCAAATTTGAATATTGGTGTAGTTGTGGGGGGGGGGGGGGTTAATTTTGGCAGTTGGGAGTTGTAGTTGCTGGGATTTATAGTTCGCCTACAATTAAAGAGCATTCTGAATTCCACCAACAATGGAATTGAACCAAACTTGGCACACAGGATTCTCATGACCAACAGAAAATACTGGAAGGGTTTGTTGGGTATTGACCTTGAATTTGAAAGTTGTAGTTCATTTAAATCCAGAGAGCACTGTGTACTCAAACAATGATAGATTTGGACCAAACTTGGCACGAATACTCAATATGCCCAAATCTGAATACTGGTAGACTTTGAAGAAAATAGACCTTGACATTTGGGAGTTGTAGTTGCTGGGATTTATAGTTCACCTAAATCAAAAAGCTCTCTGAACCCCACCAGCGATGGAATTGAACCAATTTGGCACACAGAACTCCTATGACCAACAGAAAATGCAGGAAGGGTTTGGTGCAAATTGACATTGAGTTTGGGAGTTGTTGTTTACCTTCAAACAGGTAGAGCACTGTGGATTCAACAATGATAGATCTGGACCAAACTTGGCATGAATACTCAATATGTCCAAATGTGAACACTGGGTGAGTTTGGGGAAAATAGGTTTTGACATTTGGGAGTTTGAGTTGCTGGGATTTATAGTTGACCTACAATCAAAGCACATTCAAAACCCCTCCAACGATAGAATTGGGCCATACTTCCCAGGTAGAACCCCCATTCCTTGCTGGTATGAGCCTCCCTCCAGCCTTGCATGCTCTCCCTCGCCTGCACATGCACACCATGCTGCCGTGTGCCAAGCACGCCTGCTCTCCCCTCCCCACTTGGGAGTCTCAGAAACAGCCCTCCCCTTGGTTGAGAGGCCGCCCAATCACAACAGAGGAGAGCTTTTGGTGGGAGGATTCCCATCTGTTTCCGAAAAGGAAGAGAAAGACAGACGGAGATATCCTCAACCTTCTCTGCCAAAAGGGGTTCTTAAGACCATCAGAAATATATATTTTCGGATGGTTTTTGGTGACCCCTCTGAAACCCCCTTATGACCCTCCTGCCTTTCATAATGGTTTGCATGCAAACTCAGGGTGCATCTACACTGCAGAATGAATGCAGTTTGACACTGCTTTAACTGCCATGGCTCAGTACTATGGAACTGCCAAGTTTCCAACCCTTAAACTTGCCTAAATAAGGCCTGTAACCGAGCTGTGCCTGATGAAATGTTCTCAACCAAAACACATTGGATTGTTCCAAGCAGCGAAGCAATGAAACGATCATTTCAAAAGAGGGGTGTGTGTGTGTGTGTGTGTTGGTTTAAACTGCCTTGTCATGTCCTTTGTTCCCCTCCACAGCTAGTGGAGTGTGCAAAACACGGAAATACAATGCAAGCCTATTATCCCCGAGGAAGTGCCCTTAAAGGCAACAGAGTGTTATTCCATCCAGGCCACAAACTACTGCTTGTTTACTTTTGAGATTCGATCTTAACAGTCAAGGATCGGGAGACGGATTCTGGGATTTTGTGCAATCTGGCATCAAAGTCCCTTGACCTGATTCAGGTGCATTTGTCGCTCTCAGGCAGCAATATACCTCTGGCTTGGTGATTATTTGTGCTCTTGAGTCAGATTGCAAAATAAGGAGTAAAATGGGAAATATTAGAATGGTTATCCAGCTTGGGTATCCCTTATTATTCCTGTATCTGCAGAGGTATACATAATGAAGATAGGACCCGATTCCAAATATTACATTCACGCTCACACACACATATGAAGTGTCAGTAAATATCTACACCACATACACATATCTTGATGGCAATTTTTTATAATAATTAAAAAATATATTTTTGTGCATATGTATTTGCATATACAAACATCTTGGAGACTGGACCCAAGTCTAAACAGGAAATTCATTGGGTTGTTGTAAGTTTTTTGGGCTGTATGGCCATGTTCAAGAAGCATTTTCTCCTGACGTTTCGCCTGCATCTATGGCAGGCATCCTCAGAGGTTGTGAGGACCTCACAAACATATACACACGCAAAACACATATACGCAGACTGAGCCACAGCAACGCATGGCAGGGGATGGCTAGTGTTTTATATTTGTCCCTTTGATGTTGTTGATTTTGTATTGTATTTTAACATGTTGGAAGCTGCCTTGGGTCCCTTTGCGGGAGAAAAGCGGTGTATAAATAAATATTTATTATTATGATTATTATTAATAGTTTTTTTATTGAGATTTTCAAGAAGAATATTTACATAAAACAAATGGGGGAGATGGGAAAGTAGGGAATGGAAAAAGGGGTGGTTAAGGAAATTTATATTGGGGGGTTGGGTTGTCTGAAAGTCAGCTGGACAGGGGACAGTGGAGGGGGAAATTGTTGGAAAGAAAATATTTATTATTATTATTATTATTATTATTGACACAAAAACACAGTATGTCACAGCAAACGAGATATATATGCTGGATTTTGTATCATAAAATCACAAGTCAAACTCTTCCCAAGCGTCTAGGACTGTGTGATGTATTTTCAAATGATGATTATAATAATAATAATAATAATAATAATAATAATAATAATAATAAACAACTCTGGCACAAGCCAGTCAAGGTGGTCCCAGTGGTGACTGGCACACTGGGTGCAGTGCCTAAAGACCTTGGCCTGCACTTAAACACAATCGGCGCTAACAAGATTACCATCTGCCAGCTGCAGAAGGCCACCTTACTGGGATCTGCACGCATTGTTCGCCGATACATCACACAGTCCTAGACACTTGAGAAGTGTCCGATGTGTGATCCAATTCAACAGCCAGCAGAGTATCTGCTGTGGACTCATCTTGTTGTGTTTCAATTTTTTTTTCCGTGTCAGGAGCGATTTGAGAAACTGCAAGTCGCTTCTGGTGTGAGAGAATTGGCCGTCTGCAAGGACGTTGCCCAGGGGGTGCCCGGATGATTTGATGTTTTTATCATCCTCACGGGAGGCTTCTCTCATGTCCCTGCATGAGGAGCTGGAGCTGACAGAGGGAGCTCATCCACCTCTCCCCGGATTTGAACCTGTGACCTGTCGGTCTTCAGTCCTGCCAGCACAGGGGTTTAACCCACTGTGCCACTGGGGGCTCCGCTTGTGTTTCAAATAATAATAATTATTATTTTATTATATACTGTTTTGCAGTGGCTCCGGTCATTCCTGGAGGGTCGATCTCAGAAGGTGTTGTTGGGGGACACCTGTTCAACCCCACAACCATTGTCTTGTGGGGTTCCTCAGGGCTCAATATTGTCTCCCATGTTGTTTAACATCTACATGAAGCCGCTGGGGGAGATCATCCGGAGTTTCGGGGTACGGTGTCATCTGTACGCGGATGATGTCCAACTCTGTCACTCCTTTCCCCCTGCTACTAAGGAGGCTGTCCAGGTCCTGAACCGGTGCCTGGCCGCTGTGACGGTCTGGATGAGGGCGAACAAATTGAAATTGAATCCAGACAAGACAGAGGTACTCCTGGTCAGTCGCAAGGCCGAACAGGGCATAGGGTTACAGCCTGTGTTGGATGGGGCCGCACTCCCCCTGAAGATGCAGGTTCGCAGCTTGGGTGTGACCCTGGACTCATCGCTGAGCCTGGAACCCCAGGTTTCGGCGGTGACCAGGGGAGCATTTGCACAGCTAAAGCTTGTGCGCCAGCTGCGCCCGTACCTTGGGAAGTCTGACTTGGCCACGGTAGTCCACGCTCTGGTTACATCCTGTTTAGACTACTGCAACGCTCTCTACGTGGGGTTGCCTTTGAAAACAGCTCAGAAGCTCCAACTAGTCCAACGCTCAGCAGCCATGATTTAACAGGAGCGGAGCGCAGGGAGCATACAACCCCCCTGTTGCGCCAACTCCACTGGCTACCGATCTGCTACCGGGCTCAATTCAAAGTGCTGGCGTTGGCCTTTAAAGCCCTAAACGGTTCCGGCCCAAGCTACCTATCCGACCGCATCTCTGCCTATGAACCCACCAGGACTTTGAGATCTTCCGGGGAGGCCCTGCTCTCGATCCCGCCTGCTTCTCAAGCATGGCTGGCGGGGACGAGAGATAGGGCCTTCTCGGTGGTGGCTCCTC